CCACTGAGCAGCCACAGAGGTCTCGTGAAGTTGTAGGTCACATTATGCCCTAGTCACTTCTCTGACCTGATATCCTACTAGATCCCTCTTGAACACTCCGACTCAGGCTCGTTTCCTCTTGAACAAGCTGGGCACGTTCCTACCTCGGGGCTTTTTCACTTGCTATCCCCTCTCTAAGCACTGCTTTCCCTCCAGATATTCTCATAATTTATTCCCTTGCCTTCAGGTGCTCAAATACCACCTTCTCAACGAGGATTTTCCTGAGATGCCTTTACTAAAATTGTACCATTCTCCCACAAACTTCCTAAATTGCTTTACCTGCTTGATCTTTCCCCATAAAACTCACCAGAATATCGTATAATATATATTTTAATTGTTTATGTTGTTATATGTCTCTCCTGACTATAATGTAAGCTCCATTCAGTGCAGAAATTTTTGTCTGTTTTGTTCACTGCTGAGCAGTACCTAGCACATAAGGTATTTAGGGTATTCAGATGGTCAATGAATATTGTTTCGAATGAGTAAATGAATGGCAGATTTTGACAGATATTGTTTGATGCATGACCCAAGAGTCATTCCATTCCCCCTTTCTTTTACTATGTCCAATGAGAGAATCTGGAAAAGCTGAACCTCCCTTTCCCAGCCATCCTTGCAGCTAGGTATGGCTATGTGACACAGCTCTGGACAAGAACACACAATGGAAATTTGACGAGTAGTTTTTGGGAAGGCTTTTTGCTGTCTTAATAAAAGACATAGAGCTACCATTTTCCCTCAGTGCTGCTCTGAACATTGTTTAAGAAACATTGCCTGAAGTTGGGGCAGCCATCTTGTGACCATGAAGAAAAGGCCAAGAAAATGACATATGTTCTCTAGCTATGACCATTTCAAAGCCACCAAACTGACACCTTTCTCTGTTCACCTCTGGACTGCTTGGTATAAGAAAAATAAATCCNGGGAAGCCACTGAAAATTGACTTAGCACCAAGAGATCCAAAGAAGCCAACGAAGTAGGCCTCAGTTTGAGGTTGCTGAAGACCCAAATAGAACTCTTCCACCTCTTATGACATCATCTGCTGCATTTGACCCTTCCCCAGTGTATTCGTCCATTTCTGTTGCTTATAACAGAAATACCGGAAACTGGGTAATTTGTAAAGAAACAATAATAAATGCTTACAGTTTCAGAGGCTGGGAAAGCCAAAGTCCAGGGAACACATCTGGTGAAGGCCTTGTGTAGTGACTCTACACAGCGACGCAGGGTGTCACATGGTGGATGGCAGAGCTGAGAGAGAGCTAACCTCCTCACTGGCTCTCCTTTTAAAGTCCTCAGAACCATGCCCACGACCACCATTAAGCCATCAGTTGGA